AATTAGGCCCTCCTTCAGTAGTTGATCTATACAAGAGGAAGGCTCTTTCTGGGAAAATAAATAAATTATGTTTATTAGTCCATAAGAAATATGTTTATTTCAAGATGCTCTTTAAAATGGGGAGTTCTATTTACTGCTGTATTAATATAGTCATACAATATGATGGTTATTAGTTTTAAAGTTCTTGAGTTTGGGACTGGTTTATTTGCTGAATGGCCAGCCTCTGTGACAGCCCTGAATTCAATCTAAGAAAGTAGAACTCGTGGAAGCAGTTTCTTCCAAATGGAGCTTTTATTAGGAGTAGCTGATAGCAGGCATAATAGACAGGATCTGAGGGTTTCCCGCCAGATCAATAGGTAAAAAGTATCCCAAGCATAACCCCACCCCATAGTTCATCCGGTCAGTTCAAACAGGCCAATCCTAAGGTGTTAAGTTCATTGTGGGAAAAAGGAAATAACATCAGGCCATCTCCGGGCTGCAGCGAAGTTTAGGTGGCTCCTCGCACCTTCCCTTGCTAATGCAGATATAAAACAGTTGCTGGAGGTACATTCCATTCTCCTCCCCCCTTTACTAGCTGACAACAGGGGAGAGAAAGTTCACAAGAGGAAGAAATGCAGAAACAGCAAAGTGTTACATTGTAGCGATAGAGGAAAACAAGACAATAACCCTCAAGCGCTTCCCCCCTCCCCTCCAGGAGTATGGCAGAACCCAGAGAGAGAAGAGAATGCAGTTCGGGTTTAGAAAGAAAGAAAAAAGCCCTTTAAAATATGGGTTCTGACAGAAAGTCTTGATTATGACCTCTGACACTGAGAGATTGAGTTCCTTTCTGAAGAGTCCTGCTATATATCTGATTCTGTTAGCTTTTAAATACATTCATTTTCATGTATTGCTCAATATCAGATTGCTGTTTTTTTAATGTTACAATGTTTTGATAATGCATTGGGATTTTATTGATGCATTGATTGCATCTGAGGCGGTTAACAAAACTTTGAAGAGGGCAACAAATGGTTACCTTAAAAGAAAATGTTTAAGGTAGGTTTTTGAACTATTTAACTCTTTACTAGCATCTGCTGATGTAATTGCAGAGAATGAAGCCCCATTGAATAAACCTAAATCTGACTTACATGTGGAATTAAAAATTACAGCTTACAAGAAGAAGATAGAAATAATGGATTTACAAATGAAAGATTGTAAAATTCAATTAAAAATTGAAAAACAACAAATAATCATACAAGAAATTTGAATTATTTATGCTAGATTTAGGAGGTATTTGCTGGAGTTGCTATGTTGGAAGTATAAAGAGGGCTTGAGAAAGATAAAGAAAATTTTGAGAGAAAAGACTGAGAAGGCGGATGCTAGAACTTTGAGGATTTTAAAGAAATACAGAAGAAGAAAGAAAAAAGAATACAGACTTGATTTAGTCCATCAAGATTTTAAAAAATGGGTTATTTGAGGCAAGGCTAACGGTTTTTTGATTAGGACTGGATAATGTTGATTAATACTGGTAATGTTTAATTGTTTTTTGAGTGGGATTGGATTTTGATTGAAGTGAGTATATGGAGAGATTTGTTGAAAGGGAAATAAGGATTTGATGTAATATAATTTGTGATGTTTATGTTATTTTTGGTAACACTGGATTTCTGTTTCTTTAATAGGGAAAGATGAGGTTCTAGTGATGGTTAACAGAAATTGGGGTGATAATGGAATGAAGAGAGGTTTGCTTATATTTTAAGGGATAGTGATAAATTTTTAATGTAGGTTATACTCTCTGGAACTGAAAAGGGTTTGTTTTTCTATCATTTTTTCTTCTTTTTATGCTCCTTTTTAATTTTAACTTTTTAAAAATGTTTTTTTCTATTTTTGTAATTGTATAAGTTTTGCTTGCATAACTTTTAATAACAATTATTGGGGGGAAAAAGTAATGTTTTGTTTACAACAATACCTAAAGTAGCATAAGCCTTGGTGACAAGCTAGGAGGTTGTAATGTCATGAACAATAGTAAGGCACTTGGGAGGGGAGGGCTAGCTCTGTCATGGGTAAGTGAGCACATCACAACTGGTGTGTTTAGGAAAGATTAAAGACTTAAGCATTGTGGTTTTAGGTAGGTTGCCTCTGAAGCCACTGAAGCTAACCAGAGATAAGAAGGGAAGGGAACTGCACACAAGTGTCCATGCTCATAAAGCAAAAACAGATGAAGAGAATATGGGATAACTCACTGCCTTATGTCTGCATTGTTAATAATTAGTGTTACCTTTTGAATTAGACATTTTAAAAGAGTGGCGGGGGATGGCCAGAGTTGCCGATTAGTGCTACTGTAATAAACAACTTCCTAATCCTGCCTGCCTTTTATTGCAGCCCGACTTGGAACAAACCTATTAACTTGTAATAGTAATTTGATTTTATAGAGGTGAATGTGTTGATTTTTTTGGTGACTGTGTTATGTGTTTGTGCAGTATTGCAAAGTTTTAGAAACACTTAACGAGTCCTCCCTCACTACAATTGTGAAAAGACCAACTGCCTTTGATCCTCCCTTTCTACAATCAATTTCTATAATGACAATTTCATGCAATGGTTAAGTCCTTGAATTAATGTGGAGATACAAAACCATGGTTCAGCTAAGTAGCAACACCTAGTCCAACTTACCTTATCTGAAAAATAATAGGATAGGGTCTAGATCAGTGTTTTTCAAACTTGGCAATTGTAAGATGTGTGGACTTCAACTCCTAGAATTCCTCAGCCAACATCCACAGCAGAAGTCCACAGATCTTAAAAGTTGTCAAGTTTGAAAAGCACTGATCTAGGACCTTTCTTCTTCCTTTGTAGCTCTTTTTCTATTACACACCTTAGATTATAAACCATCACAATACACGGGGATGTACTTGGGAGAAAGAGAGCTATAAATGTAATAAGCAAATAATGACTAATCTTCCTTCTTTTTTCTTATGCTAAATTTGACTTAGGCTTTAAAACAGTGGAGAACCGTTTTCTTCTTGGTTCCAAGATGACCTGGGCAGAGTCCACCCGACTGAGGCCATTTTAATGGCAGGAGAGAAAAAAACAACCATTTCTTTCACAATTTCCTTTCCTAGATGTAAAAGAGCAGATTGTCTTGCAACATGTCTGCAGTGCAGTTTAGTTGACTTCTAAGCTTTTGCTAAACATTGAAAACAAGGGAAGTTTGTTAAGTGTAGGAATGTCTGCAGAATGGGAAGTCAAAAAAGGCAAGATGAGACACATTAAATGGTGTGTCTATGACTGTACAATGGTAGTTGTCATCCTGATTATTTTGACCTGCATATATACCTCTGCAATCAAGAATGTAGTATCAAAACTTGAGTTTCTTCTATAGCATGGAAAGTTCTGGAAGCTGGAACATCTGCAGCCAACTGTTTCAACCCTTCCTACACCATTTATTGAGATCAGCATCACAGTGCTTTAATAATCATTGCATGGCCGATGGGTGCACCAGATTTTTAAAATGATTTAATGTCAGCCATGAAAACTGTGATTGGAGTACATTCAGATAATAATAATAATAATAATAATAATAATAATAATAATAATAATAATAATAATAATAATAATAATAATAATAATAATAATAATAATAATAATAATAAAGTTGGAAGGGACCTTGAAGGTCATCTAGTCCAACCCCCTGCTTAGACAGGAAACCCTATACCATTTTAGACAAATGGCTGTCCAGTCTCTTCTTAAAAACTTCCAGTGCTAGAGCATTCACAGCTTCTGGAGGCAGGTTGTTCCACTGATTAATTGTTCTAACTCAGGAAGTTTCTCCTTAGTTCTAGGTTGCTTCTCTCTTTGGTTAGTTTCCATCCATTGCTTCTTGTCCTGCCTTCAGGTGCTTTGGAGAATAGCTTGATTCCCTCTTCTTTGTGGCAGCCCCTGAAATATTGGAACACTGCAATTATGTCCCCCCTCGTCCTTCCTCTTCATTAAATTTGACATACCCAATTCCAGCAATCATTCCTTATATGTTTTAGCCTCCAGTCCCTTGATCATGTTTGTTGCTCTTCCCTGTACTCTTTCTAGAGTCTCAACATCTTTTTTACATCGTGGTGACCAAAACTGGATGCAGTATTCCAAGTGTGGCCTTACCAAGGCATTGTAAAGTGGTATTAACACTTCACATGATCTTGATTCTATCCTTCTGTTAATGCAGCCTAGCACTGTGTTGGCTTTTTTGGCAGCTGCAGCACACTGCTGGCTCATATTTAAGTGATTGTCCACTAGGACTCCGAGATCCCTCTCACAGTTGCTACTATTGAGCAAGGTACCCCCTATACTATATCTGTGCATTTGGTTTTTCTTGCTAAATGTAGAACCTTACTTTTTTCACCATTGAATTTTATTTTGTTAGATAGCACCCAATGTTCAAGTCTGTCAAGATCATTCAACAGAACTGGTCTAATCTGGAGCCTCAAATAGTGCATTATCTATTTTGAATATATAATTATTCATGTACAAATACAAGGTGTTTAAATAAAAACTACACTTTGTGGATTAAAAAAAGATTATAAAACTGAAGTTAACTAGCCACATAACAGAATCAAAGTTTCGTTCACTTATTAAACTCATCGTTCCATAAAGAGTTTTTCACCTGCTTTTTTTACAGGCTGTGCTTGAGCAACTTCTTTTCAAAACTGAAAAAACGTATCTAGATTCAAATAGAGAAGAAGGTATCAATAGAAACCAGCTTGGTTTTTAGTTTATGTAGTAAGAGCTTTTGTAATAAACTAAAAAGCAGAAAACCTTGTCAGAAATAAATACTTTCATCTAAAATAATGCTAGAAAATCCATTCACTGGTCCATTTGAACCAGTATAAACATACAGAGTGTATGTTATATGTAGGTAGATATATATTCATGGAAGAAAAATATGCTAAGCCTTTGTTATCTCCTTTGTTCTTCTCCCAATTTCAGAAATATAATTTACTTTTTTGTCATAACCACCACAACAGAATTAGATTAACAGTGTGTGTTGATACAATATTCAATTGATAAGACTTTATTTAAAATTTTAATATAAATTTAGGAAAGAATTTGAAGTGATGTGCAAAGCAAGAGAGAAAAGCCCACTGAATGAAAGTGCAGAGTTTTTACGCCTTAATACTGACCCAGAGACAGCCTAATAAGCTCCCATATATCCATGTTTTCATGTAAAGTTTCCTTCCANGCCGCTTAAAAACAATAAGGATGGCAATGTTTTCTGGAGACTTAGTTTGGAGTGAACACTTTTCCCTGGGAACCTATTTCTTCTTTGAGAATCTTTTGCATCATAAAATTCTATTAGCAATCTAGGAGCAAGGAAAAAGTTTAAACATAGATTTATTTATCATATAATTTTGGTACAATTCTCTGGTTATCTCTGATAATTTATCACAAATATTTCCCTCCAAGAACCATGACTTTTGGCCTGAAATTTTTTCTTTCATACATTAGGGATTGAGCTTTTTAATCTTTATCTGCAAATAGCACAAAATTTACCATGTTTCCCCAAAAATAAGACCCACCCCGAAAAATAAGCCCTAGCCCGATTTTTTTGGGGTGGGCCTAATATAAGCCCTACCCCAAAAATAAAACGAGGGGGGTGAGCATGGCCAGCACAAGAGGCGGCGAGCACACGTGGGCTGATGGTGTCCAGCAGCAGCTGCAGCCTGCCAACCCCTTGGTGCAGCGCAGATAGGTCCAAGCGGGGAGGCAGAGGCGGGCAGGAGGCAGGCGATCTGGATGTGCTGTGCGACTGCCTGGCTCATGGGAGGCTCACGCAGCAGCAACGGCAGCAGGCAGAGGCAGAGGGGAGAGACAAGTGATCCCGATGCACTACATGGCTGCTAGTGGGAGGGAGTGGGCAGTGCGTTGGGATCATCTGCCTCCCCACCTCTGCCTCCATGCTTGGACTTATCTGCGGTGCGTGAAGGGGCTGGCGGGTTGCTGCCAGACACTGTCAACCCCTGCATGCTCACCGCCTCTTGTGCGCATGCCAGAGGGTGGGGTGTCTGGCCGGGCTGATCACCCTGATAGTGTGTTTCTCTGCAAATAAGCCCTAATGCATATTTTGGTGCCCAAAAATAATAAGATGAGATCTTATTTGGGGGGGAAACACGATACTACAGTGTAATTTGGCCAGGCTTATTTATAGGGCTATACAAAGCGTTAAGAGGTGTTATACAAAGCAATTTAGCACATATCAGCATCTCTCTCTGAAATGTTCAAGCAATCACAACCCCTGGATGGAATAGATAGATAGGTAACCTTTATTCTCATTTTTTACTGTGGGCACATTGGCACACATTAAAAAAGAACTTTTGTTGCTTGCTCTCAAAAGTGTACACATACACAACACACATTTAAACATGCTATAGACAACATATATAGAAACGTACACCCTTACATATAAATAATATTGCCAGCTGTCTTAGTATCTCTGTGTAGATTCTGTTAGCAATTCCAATGGAAACATTCATGTCTTTTTGAAGCAGCTGCATAAGTCTCACAAAGGATACGGCCGTTTTACTCTTTAAAGAGAGCCCCTTTTTCATACTGATGTGCTTTGTGAAGGACCAATTCTGAATGCACTGCACAGCTCTATTTTCCTTAAGTAGCTAAATGTAAATAATTAAAGCTGCTAAATGTACTGAAATGTAAATGAATAGAGTGTTAACTAAGCTATATGGATGTATTTATTGTAACAAATTAACCCAGGTTTATTTGGGAAATGTCACAAATAGCCAAATATACACAGCATTCAAAACAAGATCAGTTAGCTGGGCTTCTGGTTTTGTGCAGTAGCGCAGCAGCTGAGGGATCGCTCTGCACCCTACGGCTGATTTCTCTTTGTTAGGGCAGGGCTTTTCAACCTTCTCACAGATTGTACCACTTTTAGGACATGGCAATATTTGAGTACCAGCAGTGTTTAGCAAGGTGTCAAAAACTTGATGACTAAAAAAAGGGAGGGATTTTGGATTTTACTGATTAGATTCATTTGTTGTTATAGAAATGGCTAGTTTATAATATTATGGAAAAGTAAAAAGTTGAGGTTCAATGTTAATGCTTCCTTCTACTGCAACAGAGGAAGTATGTTCTTTTTCCCTTCTCCCCCTCACTTTCCCCCCCTTTTTCCTCCCCACTGTGTCCTATTTGTTTTTGTATTTTTGTATTTTATTCTATAATCTAATAAAATATTACAAACTGTAGAAAAAAAGAAAAAACTTGGCACTTTTAAGACTTGTGGACTTCAATTCCCAGAATTCCTCAGCCCTCATGGCTAGTTGAGGAATTCTGGGATTTGAAGTCCGCAGGTCTTAAAGTTGCTAAGTTTGTAGACTCCTGAGCTAGCTGGTTTGCCCTTCTGAGCTCTTCTATAGTGTAGTAAGAATGCACTCCCCAAATCCCTTCCCTGTACCCTTAAAGACACAGGAATCAAATGCAAAGCAAGAAAATAAAGAAACACAAACTCCGTTTTTTTTCTCTTTAAGCTGCCTTAGGCGTGTCATGTGTCACAATGTTGCAATTCTAGACTGAAAGGCTCCGGCAATTGTGAAAAGCTTTAGCTTTAAATTAAGCCTGTTTACCTTCAAAGAAAACTTTCTAAAAGCCACAGACACTCAATTAAAGGGGGTAAAACTAATTACATTTGTTTAGAGGGATTAAATCTTTCCTGTTGTCTTTTTTCCTCTTCCCCCACCCAAACCACATTCTTTTATAGTCTCTCCTCTCTTCCCCCCTTTTTCTTCAGTCACCTCTAGCTCCGAACTGCTGGAAGCACCAATCAGCTGGAGCCCTGCCGACTCGTGGGGCTTCTGCCGAGCCCAGGCAGTCCTGCAGCTGCAGCTGCCTCTCCCTCAGGCTTGGATCACTTCGGCTCATTCCCCTCCCCTGCTACCCTTGGCTAGCAATCGCATACCACCTGCCATGTGGCAAAGTACCACAAGTGGTATGGATACCACCGGTTGAAAAGCCCTGTGTTAGGGGACCCTAAATGGGCCTGAAGTCGGCCCATAGAGGTGATAAGGAAGGAGGGAAGTCCTGCCGAGTGCAGAGAGATGGCGGTTGACCCCCATCGGTCCGGGAAAAGCCCTCCAGAAACCAGCAGGAGAAAGGCTAGCTCAATTTCAGAGTCTAGCCCAAGCTACTAGCAGCCAAATCCCAAAAGCACTATTTTAAGCTGATTGTAAACAACATGCTTGGAACTGGGTATGAACAGTGATTTTCTCTCTTCTACTTGATAACTTATTTCCTGGGGGGGGGGGAAACCCAAGAAGCAAAAAGCCTCCGAAAGTGAGAAGGAGAGGTATCTTTGCCCCACCCTCCTACAGACGGAAGCGGCGAATTAGACCTTTAAATGGGGACAGAAATACATTGAAATGAAATGAATATAAGACCTGAAATTGGCGCAATGTGTTAAGATTTCCCTTTTAAAGCATGAAAATAGAAGAAAACAACTGTTTATTTTGAAAACTGAAAAATAAACTAGTGTTGACATCTAGTAGTGAATGAAAATATTGCAGTTGCTTCAATGCAGCCCAGAAAAAGATAACTTGTTGGTGACCTTCAATGTCTTAAAAACAGGGAATAGCTGTGACAAAAAAAGAAAAGAAAACATCTTGGGCTACCTACAAAGCGAGAATTATAAACTTTAGAAGAAGAAGAAATGACCTTTCTGGATTATAAATACTTATTATTCAACTGTGACTTTAAAGCTGTCTGCAGAGAAAGGAAAACCCTGATTTTTGGCTATCATGGAAAACCAGAGATCTGCAGAAAGAATATACCAAGAAAAAACAAATTCCAGGAGGAGATGTATGCTATGTTGCAACTAATTCAAATAACAATGATCTCAAACCACAAGGAAATTAAAAATAATTTTGAAAACATAAATGAATACATCTCCAATTTAACTTTACAATAAAAAAATTCTCAGAAAATAAAAATAGAGAGTGAGCAGATAAAACGGACAACTGATGAACCAGAGGAGAGAGATTTAAAGATCGAACCTAACAACAGAAGGTGGAAAAAACTTACAGGAAATAATGGACATGGAAAAGATAACTTATACTCACTCTAAGATCACAAAATAAGTCTGAGGACAAGAAAAAAGATTTGACGAACTTAAGAGACAAAAAATGATAAGAGAAAGAAAGAAAGGAAAAATTTGAAAATTAAACATCTGTTTGTATATGGTTAAAGAAATAGAAAGATTTTGGATATAAATGAATTTTAGTTTAAGAGGGATAAGCCTCTCAAGTAATATAGTATTTCTTCTTTCTTTTTTCCTTTGTGTTTTGTTTTTTGACAAGAGAAATATAAAAATGTTAGGATGGTTCATATAAAGGAAGTGTTTTAGATACTTAAGTGAAATTGATTTTGAGAAAACTGAATGGTTAAACTGAAACCTTGGATGAAAAAAAACTTACAGGAAATACTGGACATGGAAAAGTTAACGATAACCTATACTCTAAGATCACAAAATAAGTTTGAGGACAAGAAAAAAGATTTGACAAAATGAGTTCTGCCAGGAGAATTACAAGAACTTGAGAGACAAAAATGATAAAGAAAATCAAGAAAGAAAAAAAAGAAAAGATGAATACAAAGGGGCGAAACCTTCCTATAAAAACATCTTACCTGTTTTGTCTTTTTTACCTGCAACAACACTTACAAGATTATGGGAAGATTCTTTGATTCAGCAAAACATATTGATCAGGAAAGATGTTTGGCAAAAAAAAAAAAAGGCTAAAGTGAGAATTAAGAAATTAGATAGTGGGATTTACCAGAGGGAATATTTAAAAATTAAACATCTGTTTGAATATGGTTAAAGAAATAGAAAGATTTTGGATATAAATGAAGATTAGTTTAAGAGGGATGAACCCCTCAAGTAATACAGTATTTTTTCTTTCTTTTTTCTTTTGTGTTTTGTTTTTTGATATGAGAAATATAAAAATGTTGGGATGGTTTATATAAAAGAAATGTTTTCATTTTGTTTATTTGTTTTTCTTTCTTTTAAGATATGAAAAATGTAAAAGTGTTGGGATGGCTTGTATGAGAAAAAAGACTTAAATACTTAAGTGTGGCGGTTGGAACCCCCAGACTTATGGTCTTGGGGGATTTCAACCTCCCATCAGCGGGCGAGACGTCGGCGGCAGCTCAGGAGTTCTTGGCTTCCATGACGGCCTTGGACTTGTCCCAGTTAATTCAGACCCCCACTCACACGGGCGGACACACACTGGATCTAGTTTTTGTCTCTGGCCAGTGGCAGAGTGATCTGA